CAAGGAAGAGTACTTTGTATTTCAGTCAAATATCAAAAATCTGATTCTAACCTCTATCTGTATTCTCATGTCCCTATGTAACATCAAGGAGACCCCAAATTCTCCAAAGGCTCTGACCCTCGACCATTCTTAAAACAGATCCATGCTGTCCAGCTGGCCCTTATCCTTCAGTACTCCTCTCATGACAGAGGCATGAACACTTCCAACCTGAAGAAAAAGACAATAAGAGCAAGCTAAACAATTCTACAGCCACATTAATTAGGAACAATATGCTCCTGAGATCCCTGCAGAACAGGGATCCAGTGAGCTTAATCTAAATGAACACTATCATACCCGTATGCTTCTAATCATAAATACAGTGCTTTTTTTCCCAGAGGTAACAATTCTTGGGAATTATGGTCTTTCCTGAAAAACAGTTATTAATAAACTGACAATCATAATTTTAAGACTAGCGATGTGATATTCAGTTTTATAATTACACTCTGCTTTCTGAAATTGTATTTTAATACATATAGAAAGATTACTAATTTTTGGCTTCAGTCTGTGCCATAAAAGTAAATACCAACAACTGCCATATACAAACTGCTATGAGTTAGCAATTCCTATTTTTATTTCAGTTTTGTAATGGAAAGAGGACATCTTGACTGTATTATAATATTTGAATTTCCTAACTCAAACCAGTTTTAACCTTTTGTTTTTCCTCATGCTTTCCCTGAAACAGCCCTTCTTATTTTGCAGAACTGGAATATTCCCTATTCCCTACTGTCAAGTTCATTGATCCATTTTGGAAATTTTGATTTGGGTGTCCCAGATGATTTTATGGTTTTTATATATATTTTTTTTCCACTGAAAGAAACCGTGATATGCAAACCCCATATTATTGTTTAGTGCTGTATTACCACAAACTCACTTTCAGTGCCTGACAGGTAAATGATTCTATGAATTAGCACCCTCATTTATTTTAAATGCAAATCTATCTGCATTGTAGATTTCACTATCAATCCATTTACCAAGTGACAGAATTTTGTTATTCAGTAAAATGTAGCTGTTTCCCAAATAAAAAAACTACTTGACATCAGAAACAGTGTTAGAATTATCATCAAAATTTGTCATAGTCTTCCAATGAATTTGAAATCCTCCTTAGTTTTCAGTTTGATGCTCTTACAGGACAAACTTTCAAAGATGTTAAAAAAAAACCCACCCAAGAATGAAATCATACCTTGGTGCTTGTCCCTAGAGATGAGGCTTTGGAGCCCTTTGCATTGGAGGAAGGCAGCCTCTCAGCTGGTTTGGAGGAGATCAGACTCACTGTGGGAGGCTGACTGCACAGAACGGAGGACAGGCAAAGCTGCTCAGTCTCCTTCAGAGCTTTCAGCTGGGACTCCTGGGAAGTGATGGGAACCATCACTTCTCTGTGATGTGCTGTGCTGTGATGAACACAATGGCTTACGTTCTCCATCTGTATTAAACCAAACACTTATGAGTAGCTGCTGCTTTTACTTATTGATGGAAGGAATTAAGACTGTCTAAAGCAGTATTTTTATGTGATTAGGAAGTCACTGCACTCTCTTCATCCCTTCAAGCAGTTTTATCCACATTGATTATTGCAAATAGTACTTAAAAATATTTTTTCTGGAAAGAAAAATACTATTTACAAAATATCATACAGTGTTCAGCCTTTTATGTATAATATCTACAGAGAAGTCTTAAGTATTGCAAGAAACAGACTTTGCATGGAGTTTTGTCTATAACATTCCAAATAATTGGTATTTTTCTACATTATACATAGATTATAATCCAATTAAGATGGCTTCCCTCATGGGCATATTATACTTTTGCACTATATAGTAAAAAACCATAGGTCTTTTTAACAGTTAAAAATATATTTGTCCAGACCCACTGCTGTCCATTAAGCCAAAATAAAACTTCTAAGCAGTGAAGTGCTTGCGACTCTTGTTAGAACATTTGTGCTTTACTCCCAGAAACATAGACAGATATATTAATGGAAACAGAAGTCTGTAATTGTAATAAGCTGAGAGAGCAAGAACAATGAGATAACTACAGCAGTGAGGAAATAATATTTTAAATCTTTATTTCATCAAAGCAAGACATGTATCAAATGTTAGTCATTGAGAAAACTTCTTCAATCACTTCAGGGGGAGTCAGCAGCATTTGACATTAAAAAACCATTTGATTTCTAGTTTTCTTCTTTTTATTAAAAATACACCTGTAAGTACAGAACACATTCACATTTCAATCATCAAAGATTTTTTTAAAGGTATATAAATCAAGGGATACCATGGCAAAAGCTGGTGGAAAACATATGTATATATGGTGGAATATGTGTACATAACATTACACATTACATATAATGTATGTGAAATATTGCATATAAAATAAAAAAATATTTCATAGTCATTAATCCTAAGCAATGGCATACAGCATGTTTTATTTTCTTAGCAAATATTTTTGAGAAAATTACAAATATTTTGTTTTAACTCAGATAAACTTCCCTTGAACTGAAAACAGGGAATTTATCTCCTAACTGGAAAAAACTGAGCGTTTCTTAAGAAAACAAACAAAGCCAGTTAGTAGAACTGTATTTCAATAGGAGGACAAAAGACAGCCATAGAAAGACCATTAATGCAGAGCACAATAGGGAAAATTAAAGAAATGGGAGATGGAACATGTTATGACCTGCTCCTTAAGGTAAGTCATTAACTTAGGTTCTTGTTAATAGATCCCTTGGGGCAGATTAGAGTGAAAACCACAGAATTATTTGTGTGTGTTTTATTGTAGAACAATTTGGTTGCAGAGGAAAGCAAATAGGTAACTGTTTTGGTTATTGCCTACAGTAACATATCAATATAAAAGCATACAAATAGAACTTAAGAAAATGAGGAAGAAGTTCAGGGAAGGGAAGGGAGAAAAAGAAGGGAAAGG